AATTCACTGCTCAAATCAAGCATGTGTTTATTCAGTTTATTAGTATGCTTTGACGTTCCCAAGGCCTTCGTCCCGTAAGAAAAAAAAACAGTCTCTCGAGTCTTTCTTGCCTCAGGCGAAATAAAAACATGGAGTTTAGGGCTCTCTTTCCTATTGTTGATGCCTTTGTTGTTGTTTCCTCAAAGACCTCAGCTGCTCTTGAGAAATACGGAGTGTACTCGCGCCGGCTTTGCCCCTCCCCTACCTCTCCCATTCTAGTTAGTTTCGATCATAAACAAATAATCCAATTATAGCTTCTAGTGCTAAAGTTGCATTTTATCTCCTTTACCACTTGGACGCAAGCACGGATCTTTGACGCACTTTCACAGCAGGAACTGTGGAATCATAATTACTGTTCTCTTTGCTGCGTACGTGTTTTAAGATTAGCTTAGATTATACGTATTACGCCTGTATATTTTCGTTTTAAAACATCCCCTTTTGAAAACGTCAGCTTAAAACACCTTGTTTACAAAACAATACTGAGAGGAACTTTCACCAAGGGGGAAATTCTTTTGTGCGGTGTAGCCCGCACTTTCCAAACAAAACAAAATTTGAACTGAATAAGCTCATATTTCACTAGCCATGCTAAAAGGTTAAAATTCTTTGTCAAAAATAGAAAGACAGAGCTCTGTCAGGTTTCTTTCTCATGGGAGAAATCTGAGTGGAAAGCCCTACTGTAACTTCGTAAATGGGCAACATAAATGCTTCACCGTTTTCCTCGATCAATTCTACGATGAGCTCAGCTGAAATAGATAAGAACACGTGTGTTTTTGCTTCCTCGTTTTCTACGGATAATTCTGCCTTCTCATTCCTCTGTACCTAAGGTTTTTCAATGCCACAAAGCAGGCTGATGTTGAGGTATCGCCCTCCATCTTGTAAAACTTTCCTTCACTGAAATCTATCCGCTTTTGCACACGTATGACAGGGCATTGCAAAACTTCAACGCTACATAACGCTCTATAACAATCAGATAATTGCTTTGGATAATTAACCAAACAAATATCCGATGCAAACACTGTTCGGTTAGGCCGCTAACAGGCTAGGAACTGTATCCAGTACTTACCCATCGCGGAAGCAATCGTTCGTGCGATTGGTCACAACTGATACCCTTGAATACGTTCTTTGCAGAGGTCGTCTACACGTCGAACTGGCTGTCGTGAGCGGTTTTGTCGACAGGTCAGGCGACAAAGGAAAATAGAAGACTTAAAACATGATCAGCTATCAGTATCTGTCACTCCAGATATGTAACGCTGTGTAACACTCTAACCTGCTAACGTTTCCCAGTTGATCGAGGCTCTGATATTTGACAACGTTGTTTATTCACGTTCTGACAACTGAACCCATGTGAGAAATTTTAAGAGGCTTTTCCCAGAAAAGCAGAGCGAAACACAACCCAGGAACACAACGATTGAGATGAACACAAACTTTATCGACATGCGGTTGTAAATTGACCTTTAATTCTTTGCAGTCCCTGGTGGTATAGAATGCCCACACATCACGCAGCACTTGTGGCTACTGCGGTTTCCGTTGGACCGTGGTTCGATGTTACGAAGGAGATTTAACATAAATAAATAATTGCGCAAACAAGGGAAAATAAATGGCTGAGTAATTAGCAATTGTGTTGTCAAAATGTGATAATGGACTCCACTCAGTCCTTTTACCATTACTATCAACGTGCGTTCGTGCTATCGACCGATTGCTTTACTAACATGGAAGGGGAAAATCCTTCAAGAAACTAATGATGAAGGAAATTTAAACTGGGAAAGCCGGGATTCATAAATTTAGGTCTAAATGAACTTAATAAAATACTATATTTCTTTAATTTCACGGTTGTCATTGCTCTGTCAATTAAAAGATGTTTCCTGGATATAATGAAACAGAGGCACCTTTTGTCTTAATTGGAAAAAACTGACATACTCAGCTGAAAAACCCTTTCAAGCGATTATTTTTGTCATCCAAATGTACTTTAGCGAAGGTTTTCCTTCTTGTTCTCCACAATTAAGTGAATGTTTCGTTTAGCCGTTAGAAAAAAAACTTTTTTTTCACATTTTTATTTCCATTATTAAATACTAATAACAGCGCTATTATTAAGTGTCAATAAAATAATTACAAACGTTGATGATAATATGATTATTTGATCTATTTAACAAATTGACGTCAGTATTTCATGCGTCTGTCCTCTTATTGATGATAAATTGCGTCATAACATTGTCAAAGTGGCTGTAGAACCACGAGCCGCGGGCGAGTGGTTCCGCAGTAAACTGGTCAAATGCCGGGAATAAATGAGGGGGAAAGACGCCTTAAACTTGCCGTAAACAAAGATAAGTGACTTTTATTCAAAATGACGCGAACATTGTCAATAGCTTTTCTCGCTTTTTGATTGGCTACTTAAAAAATCTCATTGGTTAAAAAGTTGACAGTTTGACAGCTGAGAATTGAACTTGAAAGCTTGCCTAAATTAAAATTTTATCCGTCTGTACTCTTACTGATGATAAAAATGAGCCAATCAGCGCGCGAGGAATTAGACAGTTATTGTAAAAAGTATAACAGATCATAATTTACTATCAATCAATAATTTCCATCTGGCCTGAAATTTCCTTTGCGTGTTGTTTTTTTTAAGGCTATGTACTTCTCAGTCTTATATTTCATATTAATCATTTCTTTAAAAACAGTAATATCTGGGCTGAGACCTCGTTTACGACTCGTCCAGATATCCATTTTGCAATAATTAAAAAGTAATTTAGTAAGTCACTTACTTCATCTAATTTGCCAATCAAAACATCCTGCAAGGAAAATTAAACATGTTTAGCAGAAAGTGCAAACCAAAAATTTTTGAAATCTTTCCAAAACTGGTTAGTATGAAAACATTCATAAGATAAATGATTAACAGTTTCTGAGCTAACCCTACAAAATGTGCGAGAATCGTCTTGAACATAACCTAATTTGGCTAGACGAGAATTAGTGAAAGTGATATTATTTAAAACTTGAATTGGAAGCTTCTGATAAGCATTTCGGATGAGACAGTCTTCACTTTTATGAACGCTTTAGTAACAGCTGAATCTGCTAAACCAAAGTCCTCTTTCACTTTAGTAAAGTCCCTTGAGACTCGTGCCTCACCCGAAACAGGCAATTCATAAAAGTGTTTATTTTTACATACAGTAGGATTAAATATTTCCACCCCACATTAAAATTCCAAAGAGCTTTCTAGTTCACTTTCGGTCACATCCAAATCCTTC